CAAATCTGGAAAAAGCATACAAGAGCATACGATACCTTACAAAAAACATGAGCACTAACAATTATGAATGTCTACTCTGTCCCTGGCCCTTTCCATATGTACTATTTCACACTCAATCAGCGCTATGAGGTAGTGGTATCATTACCAATTTACAGATGAGGAAACAAAGGTTCAAGTAAGTTATTTTACCAAAGGCCACACAGATGATATAAGGTCAAATGACAAATTTATTACCAACCACGTAATCTTACCCCAAAAGATCAACTGTAATTCTTCAAAGAAAATATGACTGCCACTAATAAAAGAAAATGCAATCTATAATTCTGAACTTGTTTCTGAGCTACAAGGGAAAAAATAGTTTTCCATAATTTCAATTATTAGTCCCAGAAAAGAATGAGTGGCATTCATAATCTTCAAAATAACTTCCATTTGCAGGAATTAATGGCACAAGCAACTTCCACTTACATAAAATAAACCAGAACATTAATAAGCTACATACATGATTTCCCAAAGACACAGATAAAGTATTACTTTGTCTCTCCACCAAGCTTTCACTAGATATGCCTCCAAAGAACTTACTGTCATACAAAAGTGGCAGATACCTACAAGATGTGCCCTTAGAGACAAGCTCAAAAATTCTAGTTTCCTAATGTTGAAGTGGCTACAGAGAATAAAATAGAATATGGAACTCTAATAAAGGTTACAACCTCCAGGGTAAAACTAAACATTACAGCCCATGTTAAAATCAAGATGCTGATAAAAGGATAAAAGGATTAAACTAAACCAACTGCCTTTTTTCCTCCTCTCCAAAATAACTACAAATAAAGTTGTGCTCCTAAGGATTATTAACACTTACTCAAAAGAAGATTCTGGTTAACTAATACTTATGCATTTCCTGGAGTAAACACAATTCCAGTATTTTTTTTTTTTTTTTGGTAAGGCCTGGAACTTTTTTTTTTTTTTTGGAAAGGCCTGGACCTTTTTTTTTTTTTTTGGAAAGGCCTGGACCTTTTTTTTTTTTTTTGGAAAGGCCTGGACCTTTTTTTTTTTTTTTGGGGTCCGCGGGCCTCTCACGGCTGTGGCCTCTCCCGTTGCGGAGCACAGGCTCCGGACGCACAGGCTTAGCGGCCATGGCCCCCGGGCCCAGTCGCTCCGCGGCATGTGGGATCTTCCCGGACCGGGGCACGAACCCATGTCTCCTGCATCGGCAGGCGGACTCTCAACCATTGCGCCACCAGGGAAGCCCAGGCCTGGAACTTTTTAATTTGATCTTTATTACTTGATTTCTTTAGCTGTCTTTAAAAATAAAAGTTTGTTACTTACAATTGCATAGAACTAAATTATTTTGGCGCAGAACAAAGGAATTCAATCTGCCTTTAGTATTCCAACTAAAGACTTCCTGTTAACAGCAGAATTCCTTCCTCTGGCACATACAGTAACTGCCTGTAGGCCAAAATGTTAAAGGTCAAATTTCACAGCTAAATGTAGAACGTGCTAGGCCGTAAAACCCTTTAAGATATTATACAACTTGTTTTTTGTACTTCTGCTAAATACAGTAAGATGAAATTAACCCCTGAGATAAGGTGTTTCCTAAAAGTCTAAGTAATAACTAATTGGCAGGAATTACTACTTGTCAAGTCATTACAAAACTATTTTCTTTCATACCTTTTTTATGACTGCATTAGTAACAGCAATCAAAATTTAAACCTTGTGAAAATAAATCTGTCTACAGCACATCCTTACTCTCCCACAAACTTACTTTCTCCTTTCCATTCATTCAAATTCCCTGAACTCTCTCCAGCATAAATCTGGAAAATATAAGAAGTTTCAAGTCTTTTCAAGATGAATTCAAGAAACTTCCAGCTATTGTCTCATATTCAGATTGTTTTTCTTCTGGAAAAGACAGCTGTTAGGCTTTTCTGTTTGGTTAATAATTGGTTGTTAATCCTTCCCTGCCACTTAGGAGACCCCTGCAAAGAAGTTCCATTTTTTTCTGAAAGGTAAAACATTAATCTTATTGCCCTGATATAAATTAATGTTAAGTGAAATTTCTCAAGCATGTATCACTGTCGTAATAAGTGCAAATCTTTTTTTAAATGACATTCTTTAATTTGAAAAAGTATCCAATTAACTTGTATTTTATCTATTTCTAAAATATGATTGGGGAAAGCTGTCATTAAAATTACAAAAACTATATCAAATTGCATAAAAAGGGTCCTAAGAGAGGATCAGTAGAAATTTAGTTTTTACAGTATTTCCTCCAAGATATTTTGCGAATCAGAATTTTAAAATAAGACTTTTAACTTGGTATCGTTAATTCTTCATACTTCAGGCATAAAAGTGTCATGAGCTATCAGTGATGTTTGCAACATAAATATACATAGGAAACGTAAGTACGAAGAACAGCAATCTGTATTAATGAAAAACAGATTGTTATAAGCTATTATTCCCGCTACCCCTTGGCTACTAAAAATGTCTTAAGACTCCAGACTTGAAATCGGTGGATCCATTCACTTATTCAACCATTTATTTTTAGAGCACCTCTTATACAGTCAGGTGCTTTGCTAATCCTATCTGACTCTTCTCTTCCCCTCATCCCTCAATAACCATTATTGGCCAAGGCCCATCAATGCAGATGTGTCTCACTTCGCCCCTTTCCAAATGTCCCCAGCCTAGGTCAAATCCTCATTAACATTTAAAATATTAACCATAAGACACACACCAAATGGAAATCTATGGAGCTTTGAAACTACATATAAATAGTGTTTAACATTAAGAAACTCATTAAAGTAAAAAAGCAAGGATATGAAACTGTACAGAGTATAATCACGACAATGTTAAAAAGAAATGTCATGGAAAAAGATGAAGGAAATAACTAAATACAAAGAATCTCTGGCATAATGAGTGCTTTACCTCTACTTTTCTGCATTTTTCAAATTTCCTATAATAAGCAGGTATTACTCTAAAAAATATATAAAAATGAACTTTATTTTTAAAACATACTATTTTGATTAGATAACAAATCATTTCTGAGGTTTAAAACTACACGATAGGGCTTCCCTGGTGGTGCAGTGGTTGAGAGTCTGCCTGCTGATGCAGGGGACACGGGTTCGTGTCCCGGTCCGGGAAGATCCCACATGCCGCAGAGCGGCTGGGCCCGTGAGCCATGGCCGCTGAGCCTGCGCATCCGGAGCCTGTGCTCCGCAATGGGAGAGGCCACAGCAGTGAGAGGCCCGTGTACCGCAACAACGACAACAAAAAAAACCACATGATATCAGAAATAGCCAAAAGAAACACTGAAGTATGCAACTGTCTAATCCTTTAACCTAGAATTTAAAAACAAAAAAGGCTCTCACCTATTTTCATTACAGTATTTCTATATGCCTAGAAAACCTCTCCTCTTCAATATCCCAGTGAGACTTGAATGTCAGCTTTCACAAAATAAGCTGCTCTTGCCAACTGTTCCATACTATTCTTTAATTTTCAAAACTTCAGTGATTTACTTTCTCCCAAAACCATAATTAAGTCTCATTTTTCCTCCAAAAGCATCATAGATTTGCACTACCACTGGTACCTGAGGTTCTCTTTTCTCTAGCAATCTATCCTGAGTACAGCTAGTAAACTAATCTTTGAGCACTGCTTTCATAAAATGAAAATCTTGTCCTTTTGAAATCTGCAATGGCTTCTGCTTGACTCGAGTTTAAATCCTACAGCCTGTTGTTGCATCACTAATCTCCACTCCATCTTACAACTTATTTCTTCAAACTAGACAGAATTACACAGTTACTTGGATTTACATGTCTGCTGTTTTCACTGATTATTTCACCTAAAATGTCCTTCCTATATCCCGTGTCAATCTACAGTCCAAGCGCAAAGAAAAATAGTTCAGGTCCCACCTCTTCCATGGACCATTCTCTAAGTATTCTAGCCTACCCTGATCTCTCTCTCTTCTGGCTCGCTATCGCACTCAGTCAGTACCACATAGTATAACAACTGTCTGTCATCATTTTTCATATATTGGTTTTGTTCTCCCAAATAAGGTACCAGAAGTCAGATACCAAAAGGGAAAATGATAGACACATAAATGATTAATACTAAGTGAATGAAATGTTTTCTACACTCAAAACGCTCATACACCAAACTGTTTTTAAGTCACTTTATTTGAAGTTTCATGGGCTAAAAAAGTAAATGTCTCATGTATTTTTTATTTTTATCCTGCCAAAATTTAAAGCCTACAACTTACTAGGAAAAAAAACAATCAGATTAAAAAGTTTAATTTTCAGCTTGCTTCAGTTTACCTAGTGTAATCTAGTACTTTAGGAATAAAGTAGAACTGTGCATTTCTCCTATCTCTTCTGCTCCCTGTCAGGAAAATTATCCCAAAGTCAGGAAATATAGAAAGCAGATTTTTGAAAATTATATGGCAAATATTTCTGCTCATTGCAAAAAGCACAACAACAAAAAGACACACTTAACACACAATTAATCATTTTACAATAAGTCTTTTTAAACTAGGGAAATAATTCTTTAACTACAAAAACAGTTCTATTAAAAAAGAAACAGTGCAAGTGTTATTAGCTAAGTAATGATGCAGTTGCCCGTGGTATCACCTACCACGCGCAATTCTTATTTGCCTTTCCTTTCCCAGGTTTAAGTCCAGTTTCTCTGAATCCCTAACCGTCCCATTCTACCAAATCTAAACACAGAGTCCATCCAACTACAGACATTAAAATCTCTAAGTTTTCAAGGTTCATACTGTTAACAGTCTAGATAGCCGTCAGATACGTATCAAGTTTTTATAAAATAATTAGGTGAGTTAATGGACACAAAATTCTTCCCCTCAATGCAGGTTAATAATTATTTGCAAGCAGGCTTAGCAAGACTGGCAAAATGGAGTAGTAGTTCTCTAGGAGTATGTTAGCTTCCCAAGAAAATCTAGAAAAAGAACATCTTTTTAATGAAGTGTTAATAAACCTAAATACAAACTAATTTTAAGTTACCTGAAGCATGCCTCCCCTGATTCTGTGGCATTCTTTGGAAGAGATCATGGTTGTATTCATAATATCTATAGTCTTCGTGTGCTCGATCTCCAAGTGGGCGCCTCCTCTGACCATCAAAATAATTATCTGAATAATAATATCGGGAACCAGAGTCTCCATTTTCAACAGCAAAATTAACTTCTGTTAAAAATGACTGAGAAGAGCCATATTCCCTAGGGACATCTGCTAGACTCCTGGCAAGGTAAGAAGGTGCAGATAATCTGTTGCTTTCTCTTCTCATTATTTCATGAGGTGTTCTTTGAATTGGAGTTCTAAGGAAACTATGGTTTCTTGAAACTATTCCATCTCCAGAAGCTGCAAAGGCATTAGAGCTTGAATCTGGAAGACAGATATCAGTTCGTCTTGGAATTGTTGGACCATGCCGGATAAATGAAGGCATAAGATCTATAACAGAACAAAGAGTAAAATGACCAGTAAGTAATACACTTTTCAAAAGTTGTTCATTTATATCTATCACCCCAAAATGAAAATTTTCAATGGACTTAAGAAAACACAACTTAAAATTTTAGGAAAGTATTTGGGTTTGTTTGTTTGTTTATTTATTTATTTATGGCTGTGTTGGGTCTTCATTGCTGCGTGCAGGCTTTCTCTAGTTGCGGCAAGCGGGGGCTACTCTTGGTTGCGGTGCGCGGGCTTCTCATTGCAGAACACGGGCTCTAGGCACATGGGCTTCAGTAGTTGTGGCACGCGGGCTCTAGAGCGCAGGCTCAGTAGTTGTGGCGCACAGGCTTAGTTGCTCTGAGGCACGTGGGATCTTCCCGGACCAGGGCTCGAACGCGCGTCCCTTGCATTGGCAGGCGGATTCTTAACCACTGCGCCACCAGGGAAGTCCCTCGGTATTTAAAAATTGAGGCTGATTGATGTCTTCCCACTCAAATGAATTTATAATTTGTATAAACATGTTATATGTAAGCTCTGCCAGAATCGGACGTATTCTGCATACTACCATACATATGATTAAACGTCAATAAGCTTAACTATGAAATACACATTAATGAAACACTCATGAATAAACATGTAAACGATCTAACAAATGGATACAGAGTTAACCAGCATAACTTAACATTACAGTTTGTTTTGCTGATTTTACTTCATTTTCAAAATTCCCCAAGCCCTTCTTCAAGCAAACACAATTTAAAAAATAAAACAGAACATAATGCTATTCCCAAACACGTAAAGGTGAATTCCTCTAAAAAGCTTTTAATATTATTAACCTGGCCTTCCTACTCTTGGAATTATGTAGCAGTAGTACAGTAATCAAAACATGGAAAAACTAAAAATTTAACTATGAAAATTAAAAAATAAAAAAGATCTCATTTCTGGGACTACCCTGGTGGTCCAGTGGTTAAGACTCCGCCTTCCAATGCAGAGGGCGCGGGTTCCATCCCTGGTCAGGGAACTAAGGTCCCACATACCGCAGGGTGCGGCTAAAAATCTTAAAAAAAAAAAAAAAAAAAAAGAATCTCATTTCAAAGAGACACACAAATGTTGAATCAGTTCAAAAAAAATGCCAAGTCTAAAACTATGGCTCCTTTAAGAACAATTATAACTCAAAACAGAAGAGAAGAACAATGGCTTTAAGGATACAGTACTTTTTTTTTTTAATTTTTGGCCGAGTTGGATCTTTGTTGCAGTGCACGGGCTTCTCATCTTGGTGGCTTCTCTTGTTGTGGAGCACGAGCTCTAGGCACACAGGCTTCAGTAGCTGGGGCACACGGACTCAGTAGTTGTGGCTCCTGAGCTCTAGAGCACAGGCTCAGTAGTTGTGGCACACGGGCTTAATTGCTCCGCGGCATGTGGGATCTTCCCAGACCAGGGCTCGAACCCGTGTGCCCTGCATTGGTAGGCGGATTCTTAACCACTGCGCCACCAGGGAAGCCCAGGATACAGTACTTTTGAACACAGAACTTAAATAGCTTAGGTATTCCTGGTTAGAAAGCAAATACCTTTATAGCAAGAAGAAAACTGGATTTGGAGACCGTTTTATTAGTTCATTAACAGTATCAGAGAGCACTCATATTAATATACAACAGAAGCTAACTAAGCTAACTAGACAAACATAAGTATCCAAAAAAACAAGGCTCAACATTTGATGAAACTTAAAAAGTACTATATCAAAAGTTATTTGCTTAAAGGTGTGGCAAATGTATTTCATGATTTCAAGTAATGTTCAATAAACTTTATTTGCAGCAAACTGCAAGCTATTTTAGCCAAAATCCTAAGAGAATGTGTAACCGAAAATCAAAATGTTAAAAAAGGCTTAAAAATCAAGTTTCAGGTTACTGATGTACCTACCCACCTGATCTCTTCTGTTCTGTAAGAAAGCACTGCAAATACAAGGATAAATCTGCAAAGTTGATGATGTGGTTGTAATGGAAAAAACATGCTCTCCACACCTTTCTGTGTGATCTTGGGCAAATATTACTAGGAACCTCTATGAAAAGCTTTCCCAATTACAATATGAGGTAATGCTTAAGTCACAAAGTCACCAGCTTCCAAGAAGGAAACTTACACAAAGCACCCAGCAGTATGAGCACCAAAAAATTAGCTCCTTAGCTCACAAATGTTCTGAACACACAAGCAAGAATTAAAAATTCAAAAGACTCCGCCGGAAAATCAGAGTCAAATACTTAAATTGAAAATTAGAAAAGTGCCAGTGTTCAGGGGGAAGAAAAATGCACTCTATTAATTTTTTTTAAAAAAACAGAAAAAAAAAACTTTTTCGTAATATACCCTGAAATATGATAGAATTTATTTTGAGTACTTTCTTTTTGGGGTCTCTAGGGTGCTTTATTTGAAGCAATTCTCATGACGAACACAGCCAAACATGTAATTTTGGCTCCTCCACCCTGAGATCTACTATTGATGAGGCTTTGGGTAGTGGCTACAATAGCGACGGTCAGCTTTCACCTCCTTACGTCTGCATCCAACAGCTGACGGGCTAAGGAATTCTACCCAAGCGTTCGCACAGCTTCCAGCACGGGCGAGTGACACCCTCAATGTTTACAAACACAAGGCAAATCTCGACGTAACGAGAAGAGAAAAACATGTGCTCCAGTGTAATCACTTTAATTCCTATAAAATCAGAGGATCAGCAAATTTAAGTGTTTCCTAAAGAACCTCTTTCTTCCCGTAATCAAAACCAACGACACTGCCACAAGGGGACCGGGAAGTCTGTGGTTATTTGGGGGGAGGGGGGCGGAGGTGGACTAATCTAAGTTTCTTATTCTTTATCAGCTTTCAGACAACGAACACCACTCCAGGCATAATAAAATTAAAAAACAAAACAAAAACCAATATTCCACAGAGACCAAAAAGAAATGCGAAGCCGCGGGGAGCAGCGTCCGGCACCCCGTCCGGGTCCCCGCAGCCCGTAGCCGCCCCGGCCAGGTGTGGGCGCGGCGCCTGACACTCACTCCGCAGCAGAGGCGACGTCTCCTTCTTCACGTACTTCCCCTGCACCTCGGCCGGCTTGGAGACTTCGTTTTTGGTTTTTTTTCGGGACAGCATCCTTGTCCACGAGGCCCCAGGCCACACCAAGCAGCCGCCCTAGGGCTCCGCGCCGGGCGCCGGGCGTCCCCGCCGCCACCTCCGCCGGCGCCGCCGCCTCCTTCCCTCCCGAGCCGCCGCCGCCGCCGCCGCCGCCTCTCCGCAGCCCGGGGTCGCCCACAGGGACTGCCGCATGTTCGGGGCGCTAAGCGCGCCGGCCACCGCTCAATCTCTTGTCCGCTCCTTCCCGGAAGTCTGCCCACTCCGCGACGCTGCCCGAGAACTCAGAGAAGAGAGGCCAGGGACGCCCACGCAGGGCCATGGTCCGCTGCGGGCCGCCTAACAGCCGCTACGGCAGCCGCCGCCGCCGCCGCCGCCGCCGCCGCCTCCTACGTCCCATAAACTTTCCCCGCGGCCGCTGGGAATTCTGGGAAACTCGACGCAGCGCGAGCGCCGCCGCCCCTCCCCCACACAAGCTCCGGGGAGCGGCTCGGGCTGCAGGGTGGTTGCCGAGCTCCTAGCTAACGGGCTGGCCCCGCTGTCTGCAGGAGGGGTAGCGGCTGCCCTCACTCCCCTTCGGCGAGAAGCAGGTCCTGGCGGACACGAAGTACGAAACCCGCCAGACTGAGCGCGGGAGGCCGTGGCACGCTCCTGCAAAGGAGACTCTTCTACCCGCAGATTTTTCTCTCAGGACCTCGAGGGAGCCGGTGACGCACCCAAGATGCGTTCCCGTCCCCAGCCACGAAAGAGGACGTCCCTCTTGGAGTTTTTGGGGCTGGTAAATTCAAGTCCGTGATAGCACAGAACGCCAGCAGAGTTGAAGGAACACCACCACGCTTAGGCTAGTGCCTCACCAAAAAAAAAAATCTAGAGCTCTCTTTTTGTTGAAAACATTAGTCTGGCCAATACTAATTAAACAGTATGAATCTGTAGTCTCCCAAGTGCCGGGGAGTGTGCATCTTTCTGATAAAGGAAAAAACAGAGGAAGAGGCCAAAATGGAGTTTCTAAGATCTCTGATGTAAGATAAATTTGATTATTAGCATAATTTATTTAATCACCACTATCATTATTATACGAACTAACCACATATTTCCTCTTGGAGATGTCAATGGAAAAAAAAATCAATAAATAATCTACAATAGGCATAGAAAAGAGTTTTATTTGAGCCAAACTGGGAAGTATAAGCCCAGAAGACAGCTTCTCAGATAACTCTAAGGAAGTGCTGGGGGAAGCATAGTTTTCCCGCGTAGATTTGTGTCTAGTGGGAACAAAGAACATTCAACAAGTCAGGGATGCGTTCCTTCAAGGTTTCCAAAAAATGTATCAGTTTGGAATACAGCGAGTCAGTATGGCCTTAGCACCTGGGGAGGGAGTCTTATCATTGAAGCAGCAACAGCATTGGTGGCCCAGCAAGGGAGGCATTTAATTTTTATTTTTAACATGGACATTCTTTAGTTTTGGTAAGTGAGCTCTTTTCTTTAATAATTAAAGCAGATGTACAATGTGTGTTTGATAGGCCACAGGCTGTTTTAGCTAGCATAAAGTTAACTCGTGTAATCCAGCATGACTTCCTTATACCTCAATATGTGAACATTTCTTTCTTAAATATTCCAGTATTAGATTTTTTGAGAATTTTGAGCACTAAAGGTCAAGACCTGGGATTTTTTAATCAAAAATAGACCCTACTTTCTTCTATATAACTTAGCAGAGGGGCAAAATGTACAGGATAACATTTGGAAAAATAAGATGGGATCCACCCCCAAGTGACCAAATTGAGGCTTTGACAATGGAAAGTGCTTTCCCTGAGATAAGAAGCATCCTACAAGAGATGTAAACAGTTAACAAAAGGCAAGGAATTTTCTACTTATACAAGGTTAGGAAGCTGTTCAAATTTTGTTTTGCCATGAACAAACAAGACATTTTGTCTAGTGCCCGTCTCCATCTTTGCATATTGTTATGGTCCCTTGGTACAAATCTCCCACAATTCATTCAATAACCAACAAATATTTATTGATCACCCACTCTGCTAGGCACTGTTCTAGGTGCTTGGGATATAGCAATAGGCAAAGAATCCCTACTCTCATGGGGAAGAGAGACAATAAGAAAAATAAAATGTACTGTGCTGCATAGTGATAAGTGCTGAGGTGAAAATTAAACAAGAACAAGAGGGTTTGTGATTTTAGTGGGGCTAGCTCATGAGAAGGAGCCTTTGGAGTTAAGTGACAAAGGAAATTGGCAATGCAGCTATCTGCAGGAAGAATATTCCAGGCAGAAAGAACAGCAAGTGCAAGTTACCATGTTCCTGGCAGTTTGAAGTAATGTAAGGTCTGTGTAGCTGGAGCAGAGGAGTAGTGGGAAATGAAGTTAGAGAGGTAACAATGGCACCTAGGGCCTTGTAGGTAAGGAATTTCACTTTGAGCAGAGGAGTGACATGATCTAACTTAATGTTTTTTAAATAGGATGGTTTTGGATGCTGTGTTGAAAATAGACTGAATGGGAGCAAGGGTAAAAGTAGGGAGATCAGTCAAAAGCTATTGCTGGCTTGGACCAGGCTAACAGCAGTGGAGATGATGCGAAGTGCTCAGACTTTGGCTATATTTCAACAACAGAGCCAACAGGATTTGCTAACAGATTGAATACGGAGTATGAGAGAGAGAGAGATCAAGGATCACTCCTGTGGGTATGTAAATCTTAACAATAGAACAGAAATATTATGTATAAAGTAAATAAGCTACAAGGATGTATTGTACAACACAAGGAATACAGCCAATATTTGATAATAACTATTAATGGAGTATAACCTTTAAAAATTGTGAATCACTATGTTGTATACCTATAACATATGATATTGTATATCAACTGTATCTCAATTTAAAAAAAAAAAGAATAGAATCTCAACAGAAGAGCAGATTGTACTGTGAGAGGAACATCAGAAAAGCAGTTACTTGTTCCTGTTGTTCAGATAGGACCAGTACTAAAGTGTTGGTCGTGTGGATGGAGAGGAGTGATGAAACATAAATGGCGAGACAATGGGGTTTTGTTACAGATAGGGTATGGTGTCAGGAGATGAAGGGAGGGAAGGGGGAGCCAAATAAGTGCCAGGTTTCTGCCTAGGGCTTACTTCAGAAGGATAAGAGAACAAAAGCATATTAAGACCTCGTTAATATAGCCAACTCTTCACACTTGTGGTTTTCCTAGAGACTGAAATACAGGATGCCTTGCACATTTATGTAAGAAAAAATATAGGATTTTATAGTTAGAAAAGAATCTTAGATCAGCTAGGCTAACCTCACTTTATTAATGTGGAAACCAAGCTAGAAAAATTAAATGTTTTGCTTCAAATTTTATTCCTGGTCAGTAGCAAACACATCTCAGCACTGGAGTTTTCTATTCCCATTTTGGACCTTTTCCTGTTATAGCACATGAAGAGTCCCACTAATGCGAGTCCAGTTTCTAACAGTTACTTTGAAAGCCATTCATGTTCCAAACAAAGAACTCCCCTTTTCAATGTTATTTCAGTTCTTTGAATTGAGAGAAAGCCTCAACTAGGTGCTCTTTTTAAGAGCTGTAATTTGCCTTTTTATCAAGGAGGATGCATTCCAAAATCAACAGTCTGCAGACAGCATCAGCAGTAGCATTATGTGAACTTTGAATTCAAATCCTTAAACCCAGACACTGAATTCACATCTGTTTTCTAGAAATTCCTGGATTTCTGGTAGTTTTTATTAAGGAATCTAGATTTTGTAGCTATAATTCTCCACGCATAGCTTTTGAGAAGGCTAATATTATATAATAGCGATATTTTTTTCCCCTTGCAGTTGCATTCTCTGTGGAGAAAGTCTTAGTTTTCTCACATGAAAATTAAGAATTTGAACTAATTGTTTTCCAAAGTGTCTTTCAGGCCTACAGTTTTGTGCCACATAGGCAGAAGGAAATATACAAAAATAAAAACAATTATCCTAGTAGTATAATAGGGATATAGGTGATTTCTTTAAAAATATTTATCATTATTGCTATGGTTTTATCTAAAAACTGTTATTTAAAAGATTACATAACAGTTTTTAGATAAAACCAGAGCAATAAGAAAATATTTTAATTAATTTTTAATTAAAAGTAAATTAAATTTAAAAAACTGTTAAAGCAAGTGTTAAAATATCAGCATCATATAAAGTCATCATTAGCATAAAAATAAAATTTTTTGCCAAGTTGCTACTTTCAAAGAGAGCCAAAACGGGGTGGCGGGGGGTTGGTGGGGGGGGAGTGGTGGTGTGATGAATTGGGAGATTGGGATTGACATGTATACACTGATGTGTATAAAATGGATGACTAATAAGAAAATAAATAAGTAAATATACATTAAAAAAAAGAGAGAGCCAAAGTTGTTATCCTATTTTTACTTTCTCTTGCTAGAAGCATGTGAAATTTAAAAGGGTGAACTATCTATTGGAGGATTGTCCAAGAAAGAACCAAGTGGAAGTGGAAATAAGCCCTATATATGGAGCCTCTTCAGAAAAAAAAAAAAAAAAGAAGAGGATCTTCTACTCTCCAACCCACTCTTCCTGGTCATATAACAAGATAATCTGTCTCAGGAAGAAGTAATGATTATGCTAGAATATAGGGCTCTTCAAGCCTCTAAAGTTTTACTCTTAAAATCTGGGAAGGTAAATTCCTGAGTAGCCTTTTAAGCAGAAGCTTTAATTGTTTCCTATGAAGGAGAAGGATTTGTGATGTTTATACAGCTCTGAAAATATATACTTAATATTAACAACTAAGTTGGGTTCCCAAACTCTTCTAGTGTCTGATGAATCATCCCCCACCCCCAAATAATGGAGAAAATTAGTATCACAAGTCTGATCAAAAGGAATCAAGCTAGGAGATTCAGTGTTACTGACCTTAGGTCTGGTTCCTATATACTATTATTGCCTGGATTTAGAGGTCCTCTAAAACTGTGATAGTAGCCAAAATGAATCTTTTATGCTTGGCAATGCTAGCCTTTGACTTCAGTTGTCTGTCTTTATAGACCTTTCTGTCTCTCTGCCTCTCTAACCCTAGAAACCTTTATCTTTCTTTGGCCGTGTCTTCAGTCACTTTCAACTTTGTTTTTAACTATTCTTTGCAATGATGAATATTTACTTGGCTTTTAGTAAGTTTTTTTTTTTTTTTTTGATAACTCAGTAAAACTTCACCCAGGGTTCTCATTCTGAGGGGTCTACTGATGTATATCTACTGTGGAAACACCTGCATCCCTTCTACACCACATGGGAGCCAAGGGATAATCAGAAACACCATCTAACAGGCCACACCACTATTTCTTTTTTGCTGTGGCCATTCCAGGCTGATGCAGAGGCCCCTTGCAAAGATGATTTTCAAGAGTCTCAAATGGAAATCAAGATAAAGCATTCCTCTGTC